CTTTTCTTTTAAATCCAAGAATCTTATCACTTGAAATCCAAACATTTTCTCCAGTGCCTTACAGAGACTTGTTCAGCTGGTTTGTGATGAAAGATGTCCACTAGGTATGCTAGTTTCTGCAACCATTCTCTATCTTCAAAGGACTCAGCAAAATGTGGAATACTATTTTCTCAAAAATACTCTTGTAAATCTGCCTTCTGCTCAAACAACCTGTTGAGAACACGTCCTTTGTTGAACCACCATATTTCTGTGTGTAACAGGGGACTTATGTGCTCTTTGTCACACAGTTTTTGAAATATTCTTGAGTGAACTGGTCTTTGTTTAATAAAGTTAACCATTTTTGTAGCATCATCCAGAGCTTTTTTCATTTCATCTCCAAGAGGTTTTGACACAATCTTTCTGTGAAAAAGCGTGTTGTGACAACATCAGGATTTTCTTTTCTTACAAGAGAAACGAAACCTCTCATGGAGCCAACTACTGATGGAGCACCATCAGTACAGATGCCACCACAGTTCCTCCAAGATAGACTTTTTGCTTCCAGATATGAAGACAAAACATCTTGGCCTTTGCATGTTTCATGTAGTTCTTTGCAGCAAAGAAAGTTTTCTTGAATTTCACCATCATTTACAAATCTTACAAGTGCTATAACATGACATTTATTGGTGAAATCTGTTGACTCATCAACTTGGATAGAAAAGCTGCTGTTCTCCAGTTTGTCACACAAAACCTCTTCAGCATCGTGTGACATGTCATCAATACGCCGACTTATTGTACTGTTTGACAGTGGAACCTTTCCCATTTCTTGTCCTAGCATTTTTCCCACTACTGTTTTACATGCTGGCTTGATTACTTTCTCGCCTGAAGTGTGACTTTTCCTTTGCTGTGTAGTAAGTTCTGCTACTAAATAACCTCAGGGAAAAGATGCAGGAGGAAGAGACTGACATCACCAACTAAGTTGGATGTGTCCATTAATTGCTTGAAAAATGCACTTCTCCCTCCCCTTCCTTCAATATATTCCTCCCTTCCTGGACTGTAGCATTCACCTGTTATCAACAGTCTCCCCTATCTTGTGTCAAAAATTAAGAATGGATTCAACCAAATAAACACAGTCCTTCGGCGCACTACCAGAGAGCTCAGAAAGAGCTGTAACTAAATTTTGGTTTGGCCTCTGCTCATCACTGCAGAAACAGTTTTGAAATAATTTTTTAAATAAATCGTGATCTCTCAGGGAACCTCTCGTGACCTGTCACAGAACCTTAGGGTTCCACAGAACCCTGGTTGAGGAACCCTGGTCTAGCCCATGCACTGTGCAGATGTTCCTGTACACAGTGGCAGCTACTTGGTTGTGCCGTTCAGAGTATGCTGTTCCTGCCTGCCTCTTACACCCTGCTGCTATGTGTGGGACTGTCTCTGAGGCCTCTCTGCACAGCCTGCACCTTGGGTCCTGCCTAGTGTGGTAGACCCCTCCTTCTATGGCTCTGGTGCTTAGTGCCTGTTCTTGTGCTGCCATGATCAGTGCCTCAGGGCTGTCTTTTAGTCCAGCCCTTTCCAGCTACTGATAGGATTTCCCAATGTCAGCTACCTCAGCTATCTGTTGATGGTATATCCCATGCAGGGGCTTGTCTTGCCATGGCACTTCCTCCCATGTCTGCTGCCACCTCAGGCATTCTCTCAGCAGCTCATCTTTGGGTGCCTCTTACTGATGTACTCCCGGATGCTCTGGGTTTCATCCAGGACAGTGGCTTTGACGCTCACCAGATCCCGCTTACCCTCTTTCCGACTTGTATAGTCTCTGGGTGTTGGACTTGGGGTGGAAACCTCTGTACATCGTGAGGAGCTTCCGGGTCTTCACATCAGCAGCCTCCATGTGACCAGCTCACTATACCGGGCCGGGTATCTGATGACTGGCAGGGCGTACGTGTTGATGGCGTGGATCTTGTTCTTCCGATTGAGCTGGGTCTTCAGGACCGATCTTATCCTTTGGTGGTACTTGGATGTTGCTGTCTTCCTTGCCTCCTCATCGTGGTTCCCATGTGACTGTGGGATACCAAAGTACTTGTAGTTGGTCTGTATGTCTGCTATGTGGCCTGCTGGTACTGTAGTTCCACCCCATCCATCTTAACTACCTTCCCTCTCTTTACTACCATCTGGCAGGTAAGCAGGTGAAGCATTAGGGGTCTTTGCCCAAGGACCCCTAGTGGTAAGGTAGGTACCGAGCAGGATTTGAACCCTGGTCTCCTGCGTCAAAGGGTGGTGCTCTAACCACTACGCTATCCAGCTGCTTATTTCCCTAGTATCATAGTTTGTTGTAAAAAACACACTTGGGGCTTCTGCAGCTTACCAGTGCTTTCAAGATCTCAGCAGAATCTCTGCCGCTTGGCTAAAGCAATTGTCTGTGTACTGAATATCTTCCCCCCCCACCCCTTTCATCCCTTTTTTCTTGCGTTGTACCCAGCATGAGCGGTCATCGGGTCCTTCCGGAGTCTGTTATACACTTTTACAGCGCCACAAAGTACGCGGTCACGGCTTTAACTGAAGGGCTGAGGCAGGAACTCAGAGAGGCAAAAACTCACATACGAGCCACGGTGAGTAATCCTGATCAGGCAGGCACTCGGGTGTAACGCCTGCTTTGCATGTCCAAGGTCCTGGGTCCAGTTCCCTGCATTTCTGCCAAGCTCTGTGAGTTTCCAGAAGCGACAAGATCTGGATATTCTCTTCAGCAGGCCAGACTTAGGGGCTTTCACGATGCTAATCCTCTTCATATGCACCGTGCACACAGGGTGTTGCTAGCAGACCTCCAATCCGGCTTTGCCCAGAGGCAAACTGTCTACAACTTCAATCGCCGCCAGCCAGTGCACCCCCAATAGTTTATTTATAAATGCATTTATCCCATTTCCTTATCCATGGTTCCATGAACAGTTGGAGATCAATCCCAAAGTGGGCTGGGGATTTGGGGCATTGCCATCTGACAGTGTGGGCCTTGCAGGATTGATTAAGGTGCATTTGTTTTAAGATCTGATTGGATTTACTTAGAAATGGAGGTACCTCTAGTTACGAACGCCCCTCCTTACAAATTTTTTGAGATACGACCAGCTCCGCCCCCAGAAATTTACCTCGACTTGCGAACTCCGCCTCGACTTATGAACCGGATCCGCGGCCATTTTCCCTG